CCCAACTCTCTTCCACAAAGCAGCCCCACCCCTGGCTCTCCTGTCTCTCCCCCTTTCAGCTCCAGCTTTTTATTTTCATGTGTCAACGTAGCTCCTTGCTGGCTTTTTGCCCCACACCGGTGCCGCCCCTTACTCAGATTCTATATAAGAAGGTCGTGTCCGAGGGCTGTGCCAGCTGGCGGGAATCCGTGCCCCCTGGAGGCGCAGAATGCTCGTACAGTCCCGTTTCCTTTTCCCTGGCTCATGCTGGCATTCCATCCACCCTTGCTGCGGGGTTCTCTCTCCACTGCCGCCTGCGCTGCACCCTCTGGACCCACAGAAGGATCAGCCCCAGCGCTGACAGCCAGGGGCTCACAGTGTAATGCAGTTGGTCCCAGTACCTGGAGTCAATGATGGATGGCCGGCAGGGAGGTCTTGATCCCCAAGGGAGCAAGTTTGGCTTTGTCCTGAGGACCTTCTCTGGCAGGCTTGGCTGGAGGACTCTGGAAGGCTCATAAGCAGTGGAGTGTCTCCTTTAAACTTGGTTTCCTGTGTCTCAGCCTCTCTCTGGTGGCCTCGTGTAGTGATCCATAGCCCAAGCTCTGGAGCCAGACTCCATGGGTTCCAATGCAGCCTCTGCCGCTTTCTGACTGTGTAACCTTGGGCAGCTGTGCCTCGGTGTCCTCATCTGTAAAATGGGTATGACATTAGCATTTACTAGAGTTTGGGGGAAGATTTGGGGATTTAATACATATAAAGGGCTTCTATCTGTGCCTGGAAAACAGTAAGAGCTCAATAAATATCTGCAACTATTAAAGTGCTCATAGAATGCCCTCAGCAAAAGGAAGCTCATTATTATCACTCAGTGATATCATCAATTACTCTATGGATTGAAAAGAATTAATGATGTCTCCAGTTACTAGGCAGATTTAGACCCTTGGTGGGAGTGATGGCATCACTGGTTGCCAGGTAGACTTGGCTTTGAGTGGTGCTGATGACATCACCAGTTACCAGGCAGATTCTAGTTAGAATCCTGTTGGACACAGGATTTTCCTGTGTCTGAGCCTCAGTTTTCGCGGGATAGTAAAAGTACCAACTTCATAGGGTTATTCAGAGAATCGAATGAGTTAATGCACACAAAGGGCACCTTGTCCAGCACACAGTGTGCACTAAACAGCAGCTCTTGTTACCCTCGCTGCAGGATGCTTCCACGGAGAACACTCCAGCCAGAATGACGGGCGCCCTCACTCTGTCTTGGTTAAGACCACAGATTCAAGGGTCTGACCCACGGGAGTCAGAGCCCAGATCTGCCACCAACAGCAGCCAAGAGACCCTGGGCATGTCCCTGGCCTGTAAAATGGTGTAATGACAGTGCTGATGTCATAGGGCTGGCATGAGGGTGCATCGAGATAATGACAGTTATGTTCCCAGCACACAATCAGGCCTCACTAATGTGAGATGCATTATCACTGCGGGTCCTCTTGGAAGGGGACTTCCCTCCCGGGGCCTCAGTTTACTCATCTGCAAAGAAATGAGAGGTGGCTGTGGCAATCTCGAAGCCATGGCAATCTTGACACTTCATGGTCACAAGGACATCTCTGTGACTCACCTTTGCCATTGCTGAACGAAAGCACCGGGAGTTGGGTGCTTGAGCCTACATCTGCCCTCAGCACCCAATACCAGCTTCTCTCCTCTCCTCTCTGTCTCCCCCTCTCTTACCTCCCAACTCTTCCCTTTTCCTTTCCCTTTCTCCAGCTTCTTTCCCTTGTTCTAGACTTTATATGTGTGTAGTTTCTCTCCTGCCTGCTGTTTATAGGGCAATAAACTACAACCCTAATAATAATCAGTATTTGCATATTTAGCCTTTTCCCAGGGCTAGGATTATACTAAGAGCTTTGTATGCACTAGTTCATTTAATCCACACAGTACAAGCCCTTACCACTATTTATTTCACAAACATTTATTAAGCACCCACTGGGTGCCAGGCCCTGGGGATTCAGCACTGAAAAAAACAAAGATCTTTGCCCTTGTAGAACTTAGATTCCAGTGGGGAGACAGATGAGAAACAGATAAACAAACCACCAAACACTACCAGTGCTATGAGAAAAAACCAAGCAGGGTCAAGGCAGGAGTGAGTGATAAGGGGACTGTTTAATACAGGATGGCCGGGAAAGGCCTCTTGGAAGAGGTGACATGGGAGCAGAATTGATGTGAGAAGGAGGTAGCCATTCAAAATCTCAGGGAAGAGCTTTCCTGGTGCAAGGAACAGATTACACCAAGACCTTGGGGCAGGATCATGCCTGAGGAGCGTTTGAGAAACTGAGGAACAACCAGGAGGCCAGTGTGACTGGCTGGAGCAGAAGCGGGGGGTGGGGTCAGATCAGAGAGAGCAAAAGGGGCCACATCATGCAGGGCCCTGTAGGCCATGGTGAGGGCTTTGACTTTTACTGAGTCATGGAAGGTTCTGAAAAGAGGAGGGCCCAGTCTGAATAGAGTTTGGCAGGATCCCATCAACAGTACAGACATGGGTGGGGGCAGACGGACCATCACTCCCATTTTACAGGTGCAGAAATAAATGGAACCTTAGAAAAGTCCAGCAAATGGCCCAAGTCCATACAGCTGCTGAGCAGCACAGCCAGGCTGGCAGACCGCCTCGGGTTCGGTGGAGCCTTTTCTTTGTGACCTTGAGGAGTCTCGTGCCTCTCCCAAGCCTCAGTTTTCCTCTGTAAATTGGGAATCATTACCCTACGTTTGGGCACAAGTTCTGGAGTCAGATTTGGCTGAGTCCTTGCTCTGCCACCCGCCAGCTCTATGACTTTCAGCAGTTAACACCCTCTTTCTAAGCTCCGGTTTACCTCATCTGGAAGATGAAGATCTTAATAGCACCAATTTCAAGGGGTTCGTTGTAAGGATTAAATGAGATCATGCAGGTAACGTGCTTGGTACAGCTCCTGGCAAACATCGGGCGCTCAATAAATGATGATTATTCTGATGGTATCACCGCCCACACCTCCCCGGTGGGTGAGAGCCTGGGAGAGTGCCTGGTACGCGGTCGGCTTTCGACAAAAGTGAATTCTCTCTCCTGTCTCCTGCCCGCCGGCTCTCCGGGGACCCAGGCATTCCGGCCTCCAGCCGCCCCCCCACGCCGGCCGGCACAAAGGCCCCCATTCATGCCTCGCGCACAAAGCGGCCCATTCACCCGGGCCCCTTGGGCCTCCGGCCCCCGGCCGCCCCCCGCGCCTCGCCATTGGTCGTGCCCCCTGCCCGTCAGGCCTCGGGTCCCACCCAGGACCGCGCCGCCTAGCTCGGCGCTTCGGCTGGGTTCTTTTCCCACGGCTGGCACCCTTCGGCAACTTCCGATTGGCTCCACTTGCCAGCCGCTCTTCTTGATTGGCGCACTCGCACCCCATGGGCGGGGCCGTGGCTTGCCGCAGCAGGCGCCGATTGGCTCCTGCTGCGCTTGTGGGGGCGGGGCTGTCCTGGCTGGCCCACCCCTCTTTCTCCCCAGGCCGAAGCCTCCGGACGGCCCTGGAAGCCGGTGAGTGCCGGGGCCGGCAGCTGGCCTGGGGCGGCGGAGCGGGACTGGGGCCGGGGAGACTGGAGTCTGGCGGCTGCGATCCAGGCCCGGGAGGCCGGCGCGGGAGGCGGGGGAGGGGCGGTGACGCGACACTCACCTTGAGCGAGCAGCGGGACGGTGGCGGGGAAGGCTGGGGGGGGGGGGGCGTCTACACTCCCCCAACTCAACTTCCTACTGGGTGTGAGGCCGGGTTGGGGTCCTGGCTGGCGGCTCCGGGCCTATTCCGCAGAAGGGGAAACTGAGGCTTTCTTTGGGACCTTGGACGCTTTAATACCTGAGTCATCGCCTTCAATCCTCAGCCACCGGAATGACGATGTCTCTGTTTTCACGTGTGAAAATTGCGTGCCAGAGAAAGGGATCAGGACTGGCCGAGGCAGAGGGGTGGGGAAAGACATATTTGAGCACCTACCGTGTAGTGGGGCGTTTTTATTTCTATAATTCAATAATTTCCTTTCCATTATCCTATTAACTCGAGGTGGATTATAATGTGCCCATTATATAGAGAGGAAAAAACTGAGAAGGGACAGAGTTGGTGACTGCAAAGGGACCAGGTGGAGATAACACTTCGAAGACCAACTGTATGCAGTACCCTTTAACCTCTTTAATCGCACAGTAGCCCCCCGAGAAAGGCAGTGGTCCCTAAGGCAGACGCGAAAGAAGGTTCACAGTGTTACTAACTGGGACCGCGCAAATTGACGTCTTCGAGGACCTACTACGAGTTCTTCCCAAAGTCCCTCCTTTATAATGACAGATAACGCTTGGCTTGAATCCTAGCTCTCCTCCCCTTACTCTATGACCTTAGTGACTTCGCCTCTCCCTGCCTCGGTTTCCCCATCAGAGAAATGGAGATGTGATCATCTGTATCTCACTGGTTGTTGAGATCATTCTAGGATCTGGAAGAGCTGTTCTATGAGCAGAACCGCCCCCCCCCAGCACATAGTAGGTGCTCTTGTCACTATTTCCTCCTCATCTCACCCCGAGGACACTGCAGCTCAGGTGGCCAGAATAACATTTTGTCGTCTTTGGTGCTCGTCGTCCTCCTCTGTAGATTGTGTTGTTCCATTTCCAGGGTCGGGGAAACTGAGGTTCAGAGACATTAAATGATGAAGTATTGGGCTGGGAACTTTCTCCACATCGTTCTGTTAATTTCATTGGCCGCAATTCACAGCGAGGAAAGCTGAGGCCTAGAAAGCTTGAGCGGGATTCGAACCCTGGGAGTCCTCAGTTCCCTCCCTGGTGGGTCCCTGACCTTTGCCCGACAGAAGGAGGAGCAGTCCCTGGCGCCACCGCAGCCTACCTGGTAACAAGCTCACCTCCGCCTTTCCCCATCCCCTTGTAAAAAGCCCTGGAGCTCCAGGACACGCCCCCTTCCCCAGCCCAGCAGGTGTTGGGTGACATCAGAGCCCGGCCCCCGCCCCTTGACGCACATGGCCCCGCCCCGCGCTGGACCGCGGAGGTAGCAGCACCTGAGGGCTCCGAAGAGGACCGGGGATTCCCGTCCCCTCTTCCCTCTCCCCGCTCCGGCCCGCGCCGCCAGGTAGTCCCGAGGATTGGCGGGTTAAGGGGGCGGGGACGCAGGCCCTTGCGTCCAGGGAAGATGGGCGTTGGGGGCTCAGACTCCTGGATGCGGGGAGGGGGTTGGAGGCCGGGTATCCCAGGTCTCAGTGAGGCCCGGACTCCTGGGTCTTGAGGGAAGAAAGGACCGGGGCCAGCACTCTGGGTCTGGGGACCCGGACTCCTGGGTCTTACGGGAGGAGGGAACTGGGAGCGTGGATGTCTGCGTCTGTGGGAACAGGGGCAGGGGCCTGGACTCCTGGGTGGAAAGCAGGGGGAGGTTGGGGACCCGGTCTCCTGAATGCTAGCACTAAGCTGAGGCCAGAGGACTGGGTGCCAGGGGACCCAACCTCTGCCCCAGGGGCGGATCCCTGGCTGCTTTTCCTTTTCCAGCCCAGCAGTCTCTGCCCCTCCCAGGGCAGGTGCTTTCACCTGCCCAGGTGACAGTAATGAGCCCTGGCAGAGCGTTGCTGCTGGTTGAGGGAAGGTGGAGCGGCGGGAGGGGCGCGGCTGTTGGGAGCCGAGGCCCGCAGGCCCGCCTGATCAGGGCTGGGGTCTGTCCTCAGCACCAGCATCCTCGCCTAGCCCGCCCGCACTGAGGTGAGGGGCTCGCACTTCTGGGTCCAAAGGACAAGGGGGCTGGGGGTTCAAACTGGGTCCTGGAAGATTAGGGGACTGGGGGCCTGGACTCCTGGCTCCAGGGACGGGAGGCACAGGGCTGGGTGATTGCAAAAACTCCCAAACCCTTCCTGGTCAAAGGCCACAGGGCAGGAGAGGAAGTGGGTGGGGTGAGGGTGGGGGGTAAAGTCCCAGGGATGGAGCTTGGCTCTGGTGTTTCAAGGCCACACTGGAGCCTGGGGTGAGCCTTGGCGATCTGTGGCCCGCAGGGTGGAGAAATGCCTGCTGGGGCAGGAGGAGAGGACAGGGCCCAGGAGGAAGTGGGACCTGGGGGCAGGAGGCTCAGAGGGAAAGACAAGCAGCTGCTGGGGCCAGATCTGCGGGTGCCTGGAGGGGAGCTGGGTGTTTGGAAGGACTTTTCCCGGGGTGTGCCGGAGGTGGGGGGGATCCAGGGGCCTCTAGGCCTATAGTCAGAGGCACTGCGGTGGGGGAGACAGAACTCTCTGTGGCTGGCGTGGCAGAGCGGGATGGGGAGGCTCGAGGCAGAGGAGGAGAGCAGGGGCAGACTTCTTTGGGAGGAGGGCACAATGCGGGATGGGACAGGGAGAATGTTTTTCCTGCTGCTGCTTGGAATTGCTGTCATTTTACCACTGTCTATGGCCCCCTGGGGGGCAGGGAGGGGCCTAGTGAATCTGGCTTACCTAGGCCTGGCTGTCAAGGTCCCAGACTGTGAGGCTAGGGCTGGAGCCACCCCCAGGCCAGGAGCTCCTCCAGGTAGGGCTCCCGTCTGACTCATCTCTGGGTCTCCAGACCCACTCCTGGCACAGCCTGGTACTTGAAAGGCCTCAGAGAGGATGAAGGGGTCCAGTCTCCCCACCTCCCGGAGACGGAAGCCAGGTTCCAGAGAAGGAAGGAGCTGTTAACTGAGGCAGTGAGATCTGAGTCTGTTCTGCAGGCGTGAGGCAGGTGTGACCAGAGGTGGTCTAATGACAAAAATCAGATAAATACCCTCCTGGGGCTCACATCATAGAGTAAAAGCAAAGTCGCCCTCTTTGTCCCCTCTGTGGCCTCACCTCCTACTCTCTCCCCCTTGATCAAGTGGCTCCAGCCACCTGACAGTGCCACAGACATACAGGCACACCCCTGCCCCAGGGCCTTTGCACTGGCTGCCTGGCATGCTTCTCCTCCCTACATCCCCACACGCATCCCCACACTCGCTCCCTGCATCTCCCTCAGATCTTCATTTAAATGCCACATCAGAGAGGTCTTCCCTGCCACCCTAACGTCCCCGCCCCTGCTTCATCTCTCTCCTTGCCATTTATTTCCATTTAACATACTATATAATTTACTTGTTTATCTTTCTATCTGTCTCCTGGGATTAGAGCATCTCTGGCCCCTAGAAATATAATGCAAGCCAAATGCGTGATTTAAAATTTTCTAGTAGCCACGTTCAATTTAAAAAATAAAAAAGAACACGTGATATGAATGTTATTTATTTATTTATTTATTTATTTTATTTTATTTTATTTTTTTGAGACAGAGTCTCACTCTGTTGCCTGGGCTAGAGTGCCGTGGCATCATCCTAGCTCACAGCAACCTCCAACTCCTGGGCTCAAGCAATCCTCCTGCCTCAGCCTCCCGAGTAGCTGGAACTACAGATATGTACCACCATGCACAGCTGATTTTTTCTATATATATTTTTAGTTGTCCAGCTAATTTCTTTCTATTTTTTTTAGTAGAGACGGGGTCTCGCTCTTGCTCAGGCTGGTCTCGAACTCCTGAGTTCAAACGATCTGCCTGCCTCGGCCTTCCAGAGTGCTAGGATTATAGGCGTGAGCCACCACGGCTGGCCCTATTAATGTTAATGATACATTTTATTTAACCCAATATATCCAAAATATTATTTCAATGTGTCACCAAATATCGAAAATACCAATAAGCCATCTTTTTGTCGTACCATCTTTGAAATCCGGTGCGTATCTTAGGTTTAGAACCCCATCGGGTTTGGACTCTCTGTTTCAAGTGTCCAGTAGCTCACACATGGCACTAACTCCCCTGTTGGACAGCCCAGGGCTAGAATGCAAACCTATAGAGTGAGGAATCTTCTTTGGGCTTGTTCATTGCTGTATTGCCAATGCCTCCTTTACAGCTGCCTCCTTTACAGCTTGGCTTGTTGAGTAATTATGAAATGAATGAATGAATGAATGGGTAGAGCGGTGAATGAATGAAATGAGTAAGCTAGGTCCGTTCACCCATTTTGCAGAAGTGTAAAAAGAGATCTGGTGAAGGAAGACAGAGGGGCTGCCTTGGGGATTTGGAGTGGGGATGGGGGACACTGCGGATGGGGCCCCACCTGACCTCTCGCTCTCCCCCTTGCAGACCATGGCAGCAGTGACCATGTCGGTGGCCGGGCGGAAGGTGCCCCCCAGGCCAGGCCCAGTGCCCGAGGTGGCCCAGCCATTCCTGTTCACGCCCCGCGGGCCCAGCGCGGGTGGTGGGCCTGGGGGCTCTGGCACCTCCCCGCAGGTGGAGTGGACGGCCCGGCGCCTCGTGTGGGTGCCATCGGAGCTCCATGGGTTCGAGGCAGCGGCGCTGCGGGACGAGGGCGAGGAGGAGGCCGAGGTGGAGCTGGCGGAGAGTGGGCGGCGGCTGCGGCTACCCCGGGACCAGATCCAGCGCATGAACCCGCCCAAATTCAGCAAGGCCGAGGATATGGCTGAGCTGACCTGCCTCAACGAGGCCTCGGTCCTGCACAACCTCCGCGAGCGATACTACTCGGGCCTCATCTACGTGAGTGGCCGCCTGCCCACGGGAGGGCCTCGTCCGGGTGGGGCGCTGGGTGCCAGCAGTCCAGCTGAATTAACTTGAGGCTATTTATAGTCTTTATCCCATGTCTTGTGACTATTCCCATACTTAGTCGCCAAATTCTAAATTGTTGGAATACCAGGACAGACTCAGACCCTTATTGGGGGTGTCACACAATATAGATGGTAGATAAACCACATTATTTTCCTAAGGTATAAAAAATTCCAGTTTCTCAAATATTAATAAAACTTGTCCCAAGGGTTTTGAGAAAGGGATATGGACCTGTGACAATAATTGATGAGGACCAACAATTGATGAAAACACGCTAGGCTCTGTGCTGAATGCCTTCCATATATCGATTCATTTAATCTCACCTCAGGCAAGGTAGAGTCTGTTATTGCCCCCATTTTACATAAGAGGCAACTGAGGCCCAGAGAGAGTTGATCACAATAAAAATGAGCATTTATCAAACACTAAGCATTCTTCTAAACTTCCTAAAATACATTGCCTCCATCAATTTTCACAATTATAAAGCATTTGGTCCCCATTTTACAGATAAAGAAACGGAGGCACAGAGAGGTCAAGTTCCTAGACCAGGGTCAGGGGGGCAGAGGTAGACTACCTGACCTGGGTAGTCTGGCCCCAGGCTTTCCCACTTTGCTGTGGTGCTTCTTAAGATTAAGATGGGATTGACGATAGTGAGGTTGGCTATGGTAGTCTTCTGCCTCTGCACTAAGCCTGTGATGTCTGTCACATTATTTAATCTTTACAGCAAACAGATGGGGTAGAGCAGTGGTTCTTAGTCCCAACTTCACGTTAGAATCATCTGGGGAATTCTTAGAAAATACCAACGCCTGTGCCCCACCCCAGACCTTTAAATCAAGCTCTCTGGGGGTGTGACAGAGACACTGGTATTTTTAATAAGCTTCCAGGGTGGTTTTAATGGGCAGCCAAGGGGTTGTTAATTCCATTTAACATAAGAACAAACAGGATTAGAGAGATTGACAAGGAATGTGGACAAGAATAATGAAAAATAATAATGACGGGTGGCTAGCAAATATTTATTGAGCACTTATGATGTGCCAAGTACTGTTCCAAGTACTGCGTGTGAGTTATCAGCTCCCCCTAGGCCAGGGACTGTTGATATCGCCCAACGTTCAGGAATGTTAAGTGACCCAGGCCCAGGTCACACAGCCATGAAGGAGTCATGCTGGAATTTGAACCTAGGCAGCTGGCCCTAGACTCATGCTCCAAACTTCAGCTTAGATTGGTGGCGTCTCCCAGCCTCGCTACAGCACCCACCCTGTCGAGGGTCACAGAGCACAAGACTAGAATATTTTTGTGAGGTCTGACTCCCATTTGGAGACCGAGGCTCTGAGAGGAGCAGTAGCTGGCTCTGCTTGTGGTGGCGGATGTGGGATTAGAATTGAGGGCTGTCTGGCCCTAGATGGGGTTGGCGCCTTCTGCAGGCTACACTGGCCCCTTGTGAATCCTCACGTGCCTTTATGAGCGCTGGGAAAGAGGCCACTCCCCTGGATCTCACCAAAGGCCAGAGATATCAGAGCGATTCCCAAAATACTGAGCCTGTCTTTGCTTTTTAATGAACACTCTGAACCCTCGCAGCAACCTTGTGAAGTATCTGCTGCCATCCCCATTCTGCAGGTGGGGAGAGTGAGCCGCAGAGGGGGCAGGACTTGGACATAAGCCTCATAGCTAGGAACAGGCCAAGCTGGGATTTGAACCCAGGTTGTTCTGACTGCAGACCCCGGGTTCTGGCCACTGCACTAGGAAGATTATTCAGAAAGTTGAAGGGGAAAAAATGGTGAGGCCTGAGCTAAAGTGGTGGCCAGGGAGCCAGAGATTTGGGGCCTACAAAATGAAAATGAGATAGAAGATTCTGGAAGCCCAGACGGGAAGCAAATTGGGCCTTAATAATGATCATTAGCACTTAGTGAGTACCTGCTTGCTCTGTTGGCTGCTGTTCTAAACTTCTTCCCAGTATGATCTGGCGGACCCCTCTGCATTCACATAAGGCTGTGAGGTAGGGGTCGTTGCCCAGCTCAGAGAGGGCAAGCCACCGGCCCAACAGATGCTGATAATGGCTAATGCACCGAGCATGCGCAGTGTTTCAGGGACCATGTTAAGCCCTGTGCATGCCACATGAACTTGTGGATGGCTCCCAGCCACCCTATGTGGGAAGCACTGTTCCTGTCCCCATTAGATAAGGACAGCAAGACCCAGAAAGTCTGCTTGCTCAAGTCACCCGGCTTGAAAATGTTAGGGGTGTGATCCAAGCTCCACCTGCTTGTCTTAAGATTTGTGCTGAACGCATGTTTCTTAACTGACCAGCTGGTGTGGGGGAAAGGGGGTGTTGCCCCCTGGAAAGTGTCGTGTTTGGGACGCCAAAAACCCAGTTTCTGCCGCTGGTGGGCTGTTTGGCCTTGAGTTGCTCAGGGTCTCAGTCCCTTTGCTGGGACTCTTGGGGAGGGACGGAGCCTGTTTAGGAGCACCCTGTCCTGCGAGGCGCTGGAAGATACATTATAGCATTTCATGCCCAGAACCCTTCCAGGTGACAGGGGTTAAAAGCCCCATTTTCCAGGACTGGAAACTGAGGCTCAGAGAGGGCAGATCCTTTGTTCAAAGCCACACACAGAAAACGCCGCATCTGCATTTGAACCCAGGATTTTGTGGCTTCAAGGTCTGAGTGAGCCCTTGGCTCCCAGGTGGGACAGGTAACGTGAGAGTCTCAGGACCCACATTAGGAGCGCGTTGTGTGGGCCCTGGCCTGGCCAGGCTGGTTTTTATTCATTATGTCCCTTAATCACCGAGGTGGGGAGTGTCCTCCCTGGTTTCCCAAGGAGGAAACTGAGATGATGCAGAAAGTCACTGGGCTGAGGAGAGCTGGGGGCAGGTCTGTCTTCAGGGCCCCGAGGACAGGGGCAGCCATTCCAGACCCTTCTAACTCGGGTGTCCCCAGCCGTGCCCTGGCAACTTGGGTGTCCCCGACCCTCTCTGGGCTCACCAGCCTCTGTCCCTTGCCCCCTGGCCACCTTGGCCAGCTCAGGTTCCCGTTCCCAGGATGTCGCCTTGGCAACAAGGTGTGGCCAGCAGGAGGGGCCTGGGGTGGGGGGTGGCGTGGGGGGTGGGTTCCTCCACCAGCCAGCAGCGGGGGCCAGGGCGCCAGCAGCCATGAGATACCCTCCCAGGGAATGTGGTCCGGCTGCCCCACCCTCTGAGAGCCGAGAGCTCCCGGGAGCAGCCCTTCCAGGCCGGGCGGACAGACACCCAGCAAACCGGTTGTTCTGCTCCTGGCGGGCCACCCACCCTCCCACCGTTAGAAGGCTGGCACCCGGGACTGGGCAGCCTGTGGCGGCCACACCCCACTCTTGAGAAGCCCAAGCTGGGTGGGAGCTTACAGCAGCTAACTAGCTAAGCAGGTGACTAGCTGGCCAGGTAGTTAACTGATGAAATAGTTGACTAGCTAAGCCACTAAACAGCTAACTCTCCGGCTAGTTTAGCTAGCGAACTCTAGGTAGGTCGGCTAGTTGGCTCTCTGGCTGCTTTAGCTCAATGGCTGGCTAGCTCCCTAACCGTCTAACCGCTCGGTGTGTGCAGGGTGCCTCTTGCCTGCCTGGTACCTCCGGGAGCAGGAGCAGTTCTTAAACCACTATGGAGTCCTGAATCCAGGCCTAAGGGATACATAGGTAGAATTCAGGGGATCCATGAACTTAAATGCAAACACATTTACAGCTTTATTTTCATGCGCCTTGAACCTGAAATTTAGCGTTTCCTCCCTGAGAATGCCCCACTCGGCACAGGCATGTATGCAGGACTGTTACATGACTGTCGTCAAGAGAAACCACAGATATGTGCCTATTGCGTTTCATGCTGCAGATACCACAAGCACCTCTCCAGAGACAGCCTGTGCGTACTCAAGAGAACACGTAACATTCCTCTCCCACCCGTTTCAGTGCAAGTGGCAGCTTCTCACACACAGTTCTCAACTCACGTGCATTCACTTGGTAATGTTTCGGAGATGGTCCCCTGTGTGGACGCTGACGGCGTCACGGGAAGCCATTGTATGAACATGCTTTCAGGTCGTTTCTAGTTTTTTGCTGCTACAAAGAATGCTTCAACAGGTGATTTGCACATGGTCATTTCATGAGTGTGTGTGAGTCCAGGCAGCCACAGGCTGTGACTCAAGTCTGGCTGGCTGCAAAGGCCACGTTTTCTCTCAGGGTGAATCTTCATCATGTAACACCTTGGTACAATTTGGAAAGATTCTTATATTCAAATGTACCTTGTTATGGTGTAGACACACCACGTGCAGAAGACACCCTTGTGCAGTGCACAACCTGCCCAGCTGTACACAGCAGCCCCATGATGCCTTTCAATCTGTGGGCAGGCAGCTGAGACTCTCTCCCCTCTCCCCTACTGTAGACGTACTCCGGACTTTTCTGTGTGGTCATCAACCCGTACAAGCAGCTTCCCATCTATACAGAGGCCATTGTGGAGATGTACCGGGGCAAGAAGCGCCACGAGGTGCCGCCTCATGTGTATGCAGTGACCGAGGGGGCCTACCGAAGCATGCTCCAGGGTGAGTGCTGTGCTGGGACTTTAATGGGGGCCTGGCCAGATGCTGCCGGGAGCCAGAGACAGGGTCAGACAACAGTTTGGGGACTTCAGACTCTGTGAGACTTCTTCGGAGGCTGGAGGGAACACAAATAGAGGGCTGAGTGGGTGAGGCTGTAGGTCCTAGAGCCTTGTTATCTGTCTCTGTTCACCCCTTTTCTCGACAATATTTGGGAGCCACTTGAGCTAGGCTTATGCAAAAACTTCTCTTGAGACAGTAATTCCCAGAGTGTTCATTCATAACATTTATTGTTCATGGTAGACGTGATCTACATTGTCATGGGGTAAGATGTAGCCCCTTAGACGGATGGCAACACCAGGCCATTGCGTACGGCTGAGCAGGTTGTACACTGCACAAGGGCACCTGTCCAAGGGGCTGACATTCACACCTTAACCATGTAGATCAGTCCTGGAAAAATTACATAATCAACATCTATAATAAACATAACGTACTTGTTATATATTTGTTATATATCATCTATTTTAATAAATATTTAGTATATACCAAGTATATATTAAGCTTTTAACACTTTATATCATACAACATAATAGTACATAGCAGTATATTTATACTGAATGTATACTTATTTAATATATGCTATGTTTCTGTTGTGTATTATATTTATATCACATAATGCAGTGGCTCTCAGTGTGTGATCTCATCGGTGGCATCCACGTCACCTGGGAACTGGTTAGAAGTACAGACTTGGGCCCTGCCTCAGGCCTGCTGGGTCACACACACTGGGTCAGGGCTCAGCAATCAGTGTTTTCACAAGATCTCCCCACAATCCTGACGCAGGCTCAAGTTTGAGAACGTCTGGTCCGACGCGTGATATGTAATATCCCTGCGTTCCGTGACAGAGCATACTCATAGATAATGCATTTATAGTCTCATTATAAACTTGTGTATAGTCATAGGTAAAAGCTACATGATTTGATTGTATAATTTGTTATATATTTTTATAATTTTCAGCTATTATCATCTGCTAGCTATTATTTTATCTTAGGAATAAATATACAGTAAGGTAAAAATGAGTCCTACTCGGTACCAAGAACTTTTCATGGATTTGTTTCTCTTGCGATTTCATGTGTTATCAGAAGCGTGTTGTTTGGTCTCCACGAATTTTGGGATTTTCCAGATATCTTTGTTATTGATTTCTGGTCTGAGAGCAGATATTGGATGATTTCTACTCTTTTAAATTTGTCAAGGCGTGTGTTGTGGCTCGGGACGCAGTCGCTCTTGGGGAATGTTCTGTGAGAGCTAGAGAAGAATGTGGGTTCCGCTCCCACTGGATGAAATGGTCCATAGGTGTCAGTCATGATTTCTGCCTGCCGGATCTGTCCAGCTCCGATGGACAAGTGTTGACGTTTCCGACTAGAACAGTGAATTCATCTGTTTCTCCTGGCAGTTCTGTCTGTTTTTGTTAGATTAACTCATTTAACCTCGTAGCAACTCTGTGACGTAGTTTCTCCCATGACTCTGATTTCCAGCTGGGGAAACCGAGGCACAGAGCAAAGCAGTCATCGCCTGTGGTCACACTGGTGGGTGGGTGGCCGAGGTGGAATTTGAACCCATGGCCCCGACCCTGGCCTCCCTGTACATCGCACCACATGTTACGTTTCCATCCTGTGCTGGGCACTGAGCTGAGTGGGTTTTGAACGTTCTCCTTGAGTTCTGACCACAGCCGTGTGGGGTGGCGGCTGTTTTGAGCCCCACTTTTCAGATGGGAAAACAGAGGCACAGAGCAACTCAGAGACCGGCCCCAGGTCACACAGCCAGGCAGAGGCAGCTGGGCCTCGAGCCCGAGTGCATATGGCCCCCACCCAGGTCCTACTGAATGCAGCTCACTTCCTGGCTGAAACCACCCAGAGGCCTCCCATCCTGCTTAAAAAACATTCAGACCCTTCGATCGTGGCTTCAAAACCCGCCTGTGCCCCTTGCCATCTCTGTCCCCTGCCCCAGCCTCCCTGGCCTTCCTGTTTCTCAAATGGCCCCCGCTTGGTACGACCTCAGGGCCTTTGCCCTGGCTGTGCCCTCTGCCTGAAATGGCACCTCTCCTGTGAAGCCCTCCCCCCGTCCCTGCCCCCCCAGGTTGTGTCTAATACCAGGGTTTCTCAGTCCCAGCTCTGTTGACATTTGGGATGACATGACTGTCCCCTACATCGTAGGATGTTCAGCAGCAGCCCTGGGCACTAACCACGCAGTGCCAGTAGAACCCCTCGCCCTGGTCGTGACAACGAGAAATGCCTCTGGGCGTTGCCAGGAGCCCCTGGGGGCGGCAGAGAACAAAATTGCCCCTGGTTGAGAGCCCCCGCTTTATTCTGTCACCTGTGTAGCTCTCCCCCAGTGCTAATCGCTGCTAAGTCATCTTAAGTCCTCATTTGTGTGGTTTTTGGCCCCCGCAACTCAAGTGGAAGGTCCGTGAGGGCAGACACCTTGCCCACTCCCCACTCCCTTCCATGCCTGGTGCTTAGTAGGTGGGCAGGATGCGTTTCTGGAATGGCTGTGTCAGGCCCAAGGTGGGTGCTGGGGGAGACGTCTTGTATCGGGGTCATCCCTGGGGTCCAGGACCTCGCATTCGGATCTAAATCTCGCATGGCCGGCACGAGGCAGCACACGGCACGGTCTCCGATTGCGGTGTTAAATGGACTGTGTTCCATTAAGTTGGGGTTGATAGTCTCCATTCTACAGGTGAAGAAAAACCAAGGCTCAGAGAGGGACAGCTGCTTTCCCAGGGTCACACAGCCAGCAAGGGGCTGAGTCAGGTGGGGTATTAGAACCCAAGAGTGTTACACATCAAAGGAAGCCTTTCCTTCCTCCTCAGGAATCATTTTGAAAAGACAGTGGCTAGTGTAAGGGGTCAGAGGGTCCTGCTGGAGAGACTGTCCCGGGTGACGTGTCCCCCCTTTGTCCCCTACAGATCGTGAGGATCAGTCCATTCTCTGCACGTGAGTAATCTGGAAGGACTTGCTGGAGGAGGAGGGGTCCTGGCTGGGGGGGGCTCTGTTTGGAAGGGCAGGGGGGCCTCCCTGGCGTCACTGCCAACCCCCTTCGCTTCCCCTTGTTCCTCCCACAGCGGGGAGTCTGGAGCCGGGAAGACGGAAAACACCAAGAAGGTCATCCAGTACCTGGCCCACGTGGCATCATCACCAAAGGGCAGGAAGGAGCCGGGCGTCCCTGTAAGTGACCCAGCCTTGGGACACCCCCGGGCTCTGGCACAGCCATGTCCCCTCCATCTCGGGCTCTGCTCGCCCGTAACTGCCTGCCTTTCTCACAGAGGGCCACGGCTGGTGTGGGGCCTTCCCCTGGCTGTCCGTGCCACCTGAGCACCTACTGTGTGCCTGGGCTGGGGCCGTAACCGAGACAGGGCAGATGCACAGTTGCAAGAGCCTGTCTTAGCCTCGTTGGCTCTCGGAACAGCACCTGGCACTTAGTAGGTGCTTCATTTTCTGAGCACCTACTATGTGTCAGGCCTGATTTTTAGGTGATCATGGTGCCTGGGTTTGTCATCTAAGTGAACATTATACAGTGCTTTCCACGTTCCGAGCTCTTGGCTCACATTACCTCACTTAACACCCCGGTGAGGTGGGTGCTGGCGTCCTGCGTTGGAGATGAGGAGCCGCAGGCACGGAGGGTGGGGCGAGTCAGCTGGTCACCTGCCCAGGGAGGGCCAGAGCGGGATCCCAACCCAGGCGTGTGGTCCCCGCTGACCACCCTACTCCACACATCCTGTTCCCCTAACTTCCTTCCCCCCGTACCCCACCACTGCCCGAGGCCGCCGGTTCACCTGTGTGTCTGTCCACGTTCCATGTGCTGCGTCCTGGTCCGTGTCTCGTGTCCCGTGACTTCCTCAGGCCTCCGCCAGCACCGTGTCTTATGTGAGTAGCAGGGAATCACCTCGTGTCTTGCCGCCCCTAACGCTGCCCCAGCCGCCCAGCCCATGATCTTCCTGATAGATGGCCCAAGGCAGCAATGGTTACACCTGCCAGGGACTCCCACCGCCACGATGGTGGCCCTGCTGTGTGTGTGCAGACGGGCCACAGATATCAACATGGAATGACCCAGAGACCCAAACTGCCATTTACTACTGATCTACTAAATGTGTCTAGCCCGGGCCCATAGCCACTGGGTACCCACACAGCCCAGGGAGTTGACAGCATAGCCGGGACATATGTATGAGCTGTCCTGTGCCAAGCTGCGTGCCCTTCACTTTGCATATATTTTTTCATTTGACAAAGCCATCCGTCTAGCTGAGACTTTCGTCCCAACACAAGCTAGACGTAGCCTGAGAGAAGACACACACAGGCTGCTATTTACTGAGCACCTACTATGTGCCTAGCTCTACACCAAGGGGGCTGGAGGGAAGTTCGGAGTAAGGTTCCTACCATGGGGCAGCCTGGTGGGGGAAGGAACCCACCATTCTTGACGGCCAACTATGTGCCAGACGGTTTGAAGCACTTTACATAGATGGGGTAGATTTTTCCCTTAATTAAAAATTCTGCCAGTGAGACATGAGTCCATGTTCACTGTAACAACAGCAAATCCGAAAAATTGACATCCTCTTTCCTCCTCTCGGTCCCCTTCCTTGGAGTGGCTTACACTGTTGGCAGTTTGGTGCACATCCTCGAAGACCTCTCTCTGTATGTTCACAAACATGTATATATCTGTAGAAATAAGTCTTGTTTTGTGGCGTTTTTTCCTTAATTTATTTTTTACTGATGGGATCGCATCGTAGGTATTATTCTGCAACTTTTTTTTTGTTTGTTTGGTTTGATTCCCATTCAACAATATGTCTTGGAGATGTTTCCCTGTTCCCCTCACAATAGATGGGCAGGACCTGGGCGCACACCCAGACACACAAAGGCCCCTCACACACAGATACGCAGCCGGCTGGGGACACAGCCGCCAGCTGGGCCAGCCTCCCTGAGGTTCTTGTTGACGCTCCTTCTCCCCTCTCTACCCCGGGCAGGGGGAGCTGGAGCGGCAGCTGCTTCAGGCCAACCCCATCCTGGAGGCCTTCGGCAATGCCAAGACGGTGAAGAATGACAACTCCTCCCGATTTGTGAGTGCTGGCGGAGCGCAGTTCCTGTCTGTGTCAGGGATACAGGAGCTGGGCGTGTGGGGGGATGTGGGGGGCAAAACATGTGGGTCTGTTGAGGGAGGAGGGGCTGGAGGCCCAGACCCCCGGGTCTAAGGGAGGAGGGGCCGAGGACCAGGACCCTGGGTCTGAGGGAGGAGGGGCAGGGGACCAGGGTCTGGAGGAAAGAAGTCAGAGGAGCCTGGACCCCATATTCCCCAGGGAGCCCCTGTCTGGGGACTCAGGCTTGGGTGGGGTCGGGTAGTGGGGGAGAGAGTGGGAGCGGCAGCCCCGGCGCTAGGAGGGGGTGTGTGGGGTTGGGGCCGCTCGTCAGGGCCGAGGGGGAGGAGGACTCCCTCTGAAGCCCTCCTTCTGCCGTCCCTCCCAGGGCAAATTCATCCGCATCAACTTCGACGTTGCCGGGTACATCGTGGGCGCCAACATCGAGACCTGTATCCTTTCACAGCCCCCAGGGGCGCCCAGGAGGACAGGGGTGGTGGCGGGGAGGGCAGCCCTTTGGATGGCACCGCTTACAGGAAGCAGGCTCCACGCGCTGGGGACCCCACGCCCGCTGCCCGGTGGGGGCAGACGCTCAGACGCGGTGTCCGCAGGTGGAGGGAGGAGGGCAGGGCGGCCCTTGTTTCTATAAGGCCAGCACAGCCTGGCTGTGGGGTGTGGGTCGGGGTCCCCAAGACCACCAGGTTCAATGACCCACTTGGGGGACTCCAAGACAGCCTGCAGTGGCTCGTGGAGATGACTCATGACAGTGACAGTGTAGGGAGCACGGCTGGCGAGGGGAGGAGGTGCGGGGCTTGATGTCTGGGGGGACCAGCACAAGCTTCCGGAATCCTGCCCCGGTGGAGTCACGCAGGTCGTGCTTAATTCCCCCGGCAAGGAGGCGTGACGACGCTTGTGGAATGTTGGCATTAGGGAAGCTCGTCAGAGACTCGGTGTCAGGGTTTTTATCGGGGGTGGCGGTGCCACATGGCCCCGTCTGCTTGGTATGTGCCACCATCCCGGGCCCCAGCAGGAAAGCAGGTGTTCAGTGTAAACCACGTTGTTTGCAGCAAACCGCTTAGGCCCCGCGAGCCCCTCAGGGAATGCCGGGAGCCCCCCTGAAAGCAGGTTCCCAGACCCCGGCCAGGGCCCGCCTTGCCCGCAGGCCGGCGTTCGCCCTCCCTGCGAGCATTTAGAAGAATTTAAACGGTAAAACACAGGCGCTCCAGGAGGGCAGACGTTAAGAGAATGGGCCAAGAAATCACCCTAACCTGGGTGCGAATCCCGCCTCTACCGCGTTGAGGCTGTGGGACCCTGGGCACGTGATTTGGCTGCTCTGTCTCAGTTTCTCCCTCTGTCGAAGGAGAAGGAACACAGACCCTGCCCTAGCGGGGTCTGGAGGGTCGTGGGGGTCGAGTGCTCAGCCCCGGCAACCGTGGCATAGCGAGCACTCAGGCACAAGCTGTCGTTACCAGCAATTAGTGATTAAATCAGCAATGACCTATCGACGTTAATATTACTGATTAATAACTACTCTTCGTACTGTTAGCAACTGTTAATCATCCCAGGGGCATGGGGGAAGCTCACCGTCTCCCGCGATCTGGGAAAGGGTTTCTGGGAAGACCGCTCAGGGCACGAGGCCCCGTGGGTTCTGCTGCCTCCAGGAACCTGGTCCTCGGCTCTCCCCGCCCTGTGCCCCGCGGCCCCGCGGCCACTGTCCTCTGCTCAGGGCTCCTCCTCACTCCGGGTCCTCCTGCCCCGCGGCTCCTGCCTCCTCCAGGCTCCCGCTTCCCGGGTTCTCAGAGCTCGTGGCTCTCCCTGCCGCGCTGTCCTGCGTCTCGTGCCTCCTCTTATACTCGCGTTTGTCCCCTCTGCCACTTGCACCTGCGCTGTCTCCCGCCACGCTGCCCCTCCGGGGAGGCTGCCCCGCTGGGCACAGCTCTCGCGCTCAGCTGCCGGGCGCCGGTGACCGGCGTGTGGGTGGATGTCACGGCTCGGTGCCCGCCCCCGCCAGAGCGTCTCGGGACGGCCCACCGGGCGGGGAGCCTGCGCAGCCTGTCCCTTCAGCGCCAGGGTCAGCACCGTGACCAGCGTAGCCTGAGCGCCGACTGTGTGCCCGCCACCGTGCCGAGGGCTCGGCGCGTGCCCTCTCAGCTCCGCGTCTCTGTGACCCCTCGAGATAGATGCCGCTGCCGTCCGCATTTAGCAGAGGAGGAAACGGAGGCTCGCGGCTGTTTCTACCCGGGGGTGCGCAGCCTGTGTGTGCCCCCCCTTCCTGTGGGAGCGCTCCCCCCACATCGCCTCGTCTAACCCAGCAGGGCTCCGGGGAAGGGACCTCAGGCTGCGGCTGCCCTTGGGCGCGGTGTGCGGGACACGAAGGGCCGAGCGAGGTACCCGGCGCTTTGTCGTACTCTGAGACGTCGTGTGTGAACCCGCCGTGCGACCGCAGAGAAGGAGAGCATGCAGGGTGACGGTCCAGCTGGAGATGGGAGCAGATATATTTGAATGGGAAACTGAGGCTAGAGGGTACATCCACGGGCCAGGCGCTGTTCCCGGTGCGTCACGCGTAGTAAGTCATCTACCCTCACAGCAACTCCACAAGCGGTGCAACAGATGGGGAAACTGAGGCACGGGTGCTTAAGCGACACGCCCGAGGCCACTCATCCAGCTAGCGGCAAGTCACCAGCAGGGCTGTGAAGGACTCTGCCGCTCCGTGGGGCGCGGGGGCAGGTGCGGCGCGGGTGGGGCGGGCCCTGGCACGTGGACGGGACCTTGACTCGCCTGCGCAGACCTGCTGGAGAAGTCGCGGGCCATCCGCCAGGCCAAGGACGAGCGCAGCTTCCACATCTTCTACCAGCTGCTGGGGGGCGCCGGAGAGCAGCTCAAGGGTCAGTGCTGCCCGCCCTGCCCCGCTCCTGGGGGGCGGGTGGGAGCCGCGTGGGGCCCCCCGGGAGGAAGAAAGCGGGGGGGGGGCACTGTATTTGTCACGCACGTCCTGTACGTGTGGCTTCCGCGGCCTCTGGCTCTTGCTGTGTAGCGGCTTCTGTCACCTCCCAGCTTCTGTCGCGAGGGGTTCTGCCGCCCTCCGGTTCCAGCGCTCTCCGGGCTCTGGCCCACGCCCGCTGTCGCGGCGCCCCGTGGCTCCTGCTCACGCTCGCTTCCGAAGCTCCGGGCTGCCGGTGCGCGGCTCCTCGCGCGGCCTCTCCTCCCTCCTGCCGGGGTTACCGCCACTCCGGCCTTGCTGCGGCTCCCGCTGCCTCCCGGCTCCTGACGTCCCGGTGTGTGTGGCTTCTGGCTCCTGCTGTCTCGTGCTGCCCTCGGCCCTGTCCTGCCAGAGTCTCCCGTCCCTGCCCCTCCCGCCCTCTGCCCTGAGACTCCCACGGCTCTGTTCCATGCCCTGGGGCTCCCGCGACGCGGCTGCTCCCACCTGAGCAAGTGCCGCCTCCTCGCTCCTGCTGCCGCGTGGCCTCTCCTCGCCAGGTTCCCACTCACTGTGGCCTCCGAAGCCACCGCGCTCTGGCGCTGGCCCTGCCATCCCGTGGCCCCGTTGCTTCTGCCGACGGGTGGCCCCTGCCTGCCTGGGGCAGCTCCCTGCCTTGGGAGCCCTCAGGGAGGAGCGGAGAGGGAGGCCTGCCAGGCGCTGAGCGCCCGCTGCGTGCCCGGCCCTCCCCGCCATACCCGCGAGGAGAGGACCCCACCCACGTGAGAGGGGTGTGGCTTGTCCCAGGGTCACCACCAATGAATCCAGGATGTGAGTCTGACTCCACGGCTCACCCTCGACCTTCACCGCCCCCCTTGCCCCTGCAGCCGACCTCCTCCTCGAGCCCAGCTCCCGCTACCGCTTCCTGACCGACGGGCCGCCGCCCTCCCCCAGCCAGGAGCGGGAGCTCTTCCAGGAGACGCTGGAGTCCCTGCGGGTCCTGGGATTCACCCACGAGGAGATCACCTGTGAGTGAGCCCGTCGAGGCCGGGCTGGGCACCGCTCGGGGACGTGGCCATTCTTGCGTCAGTTTGTTTGCTGGGGTGTTTATTGAGCCCCTGCTGTGTGCAGACACTGGGGTTTCCAGGGGGTTCTGCAGTTTCAATGATGAAAGGGAAACCCCAACCAAATCACTAAGGACTTACACAGCCCATGAGAAGGAGACGAGCGCCAGGGAGAAGAATAAAGCAGGGGCCAGCAGAGGGAGGGACACAGCTTAAGCAGGGGGTCAGGGAAGGGTGTCCCGAGATGGGGATATTTGAGCAAAGGCCTGGAGGAGGTGAAGCCATGGACTGGGGATATCAGGGAAGAGCGTGCCAGGCAGAGGGAACAGCCTATGCAAAGGCCCTGGGGCAGGAAAGGTGTGGTATGTTAAGGGGTTGAAACTTCTGGAGAGCTGCACAGGCAGGCGGGGTCTCAAATGCCAGTCTGAGGGGCTGGGACTTTGTCCTGAGAATGCTGTCAGCGGTGGGAGGGCTGGGAACAGAAAGACCGTCAGGGGCCGTGGGAGGGACATTACTGGAGTGGGAGAGGCTGAGGCCCGAGGGGCTGCTGAGGGTCTAGGGAAGGCGCAGGGCCAGGCTTGGGTGTGCTGGTGCTAAACGCTCAGCTTAGCACCCCCGCCCTGGGGAGCTCTTCTCCCACCTTCGTCACCAAACAGCAGGTGTGACAGTAGCTGTGTTAGTTTGCTCGGGCTACCTTCACAAAGCACCGCAAACTGAGAGCCTGAAACGGGAAATGGATCGTCTCTTGGTTCTGGGGCTGGAAGTCTGGGATCAAGGTGTTGGCAGGGTGGGTTCATGCTGGAGAATCTGTTCCGTGCCTCTCCCCTGGCTCCTGGTGCTTTCCTGGCAATCTCTGGCGTTCGTTGGCTTGCAGACGCCTCACCTGTCTCTGTCTTCACCTTCACGTGGCGTCTCCGCATGTGTGTCTGTGTCCGGAACCCCCCTCTCATCAGGACACCAGCCATGGTGGAACAAGGGCTCACCGTTCTCCGTGTGACTTCACCTTAACTTTTGCATGTGCAGTGACCCTGTTCCAACAAGGTCACATTCTGAGGTCCTGGGGGTTAGGGCTTCAACAGACGTGTCTCTTTGGGAGGGGGCTGTGTGGATAGGATTCGGCCTATAACCAATATGCATAGATGGCCCTCGGTCTTTTTCAAGGCTGCATAACGTTTTGTTGTTTGGATGAACTATGATTCTTCTCTCCGTGCCCTCAAAAGCAAGACCCTTAGGTACTTCTGGGGCTGAGCTGGGTCTGAGTCTCCTCTGGTCTCTGGCGCTGCGGGAGGCCCCGGAGCTATTGTTGGCACCAGGGCCAAGTTGGAAGGGCCAAGAATGTAGCGCCGGCTTGGCTTCCTACCAAGGCTGCAAACAGCCCGGCCTCTGCGACACAGGGTCGCAGGCCTCCCCGCCCCCACCCTGCCGGATTTCCCAACCACGGTTTCGTAATCCCCCAGCCTGCCTGACTCCTCTGCAGCTGGGCAGCTGGCAAACAAATTCAGATCGCTGCCACAGTGGGGGCCTGGCCTCCCAGCCTGTCCCCTTGGGTCCCGCTTGGCCTCTCCACACGGTCAGCTCACATGGCCCTCCCGGTGGCTGCGCTGCCTTGCAGTGGCCAGGCATGCAGCTCTGGTTTTTGCAGTTCAGAAATAAAAATGACATGCAGTTGGTGCATCTAATGACATAACGTGAACGTGGCCAGAGGTCACCCTGAGAAAACCAAGTCCCCCCCGACTTCCGGGGCCCTGGTTTCCGACTGTTAAGCTTCCTGTGTCTCCTTCCAGAAATATTTTACAAAGAACAGGTATCTTAAGAAAAGATCCATATTATTTCTCTATAAAAGGAGGCATCCTCTAGCTCCAGGGCTAATGTTCAGCCATGAACATCACCTTAGCGATAAAAATGGGAAGTGATTTCTCTACTGGCTTAGAAGTTCCTAGATGTTGGTCACTCCAGGCGGACCCCTCGGCTCCCTGACCTGCCACCGGGACCGCGGGACTCTGGCCGAGGTTGGTCTGGGCTGGGCAGTGCTGGCGTTAAACACGCAGCTCATGGCTCCCACGGCAGGGTGCTCTGTCCCCACCACGGTCCCACCGAACCGTGTACTTTGGCCACAGCTCTGCTTCGGTGCGTACAGATGGGCCTCAGCCCTTTGTGCATCTCTGTGATGTTTCACTGTTTAGACAAACTACGGTTCTTTCAACCAATTCCTTGCAGACAGACCCTTAGGTTGTTTCTGTTCCATTGCTCTTAGATGATTAAAAAAAAAAAGCTGTCGTGTATGTCCTTGTAGGTAGGTCCTCGTGCTCGTGTGCGAACAGGTCTGTAGGACCAAGTCTTAGAAATAAAATGCTGGGTCCAAGGAGATGCGCAATTTTTGGTTGTATCAAGCTGAAAAAAGTTTAACAGCTTTATTCGAGATATGATTCACATATCATACCATTCACCTATTTAGAGTGTGCGATTCAGTAACTTTTAGCATATTCATGGAGCTGTGCATTGACCAGTTGCAGTCAATCTTAGGACTTTTTTTTTTTTTATTTTTGAGACAGAGTCTCACTCTTTTGCCCGGGCTAGTGTGAGTGCCGTGGTGTCAGCCTAGCTCACAGCAACCTCAGACTCCTGGGCTCAAG